AAGAAATCACTTTTCTCCGCAATGAAGTCATCGAAATTGCCTATGTATTTACCTGGACTGAGCTACAACAATAAAATTCTATGAATTTCAGTTTTTAGCAACCAGGTTTGAAAACGGTTTGTAATGGAAGGATATGGATGCTTACCAAGCACTTGCAATTTCTACATTAGGTATGAAAACTGTGGGATATGTATAGCTACCACAAGATTAAAATATAAGCATATACTGAAACGTTTCCAAAGGTTTTCCGATTGTATTCACAATTTTTGGTGCAAAGCTTTGAGTCAAACCTAGTATTGCAGGCCCATCAATTCTGTTTCTCTCCCAAACTCCAATTTCACCTTCTAAACAAAAACTTCCATTGCTCAACCTTAAAGAGAGATATTAATCTGGCACATAAGTAGTGCAACTTTTCGTGTAACTTTTGTATCTTTGAACACAGCGCATTCCTTTTTTGGCAGTATAAGGATTATGATAAAAACTTCAAATGCAGACATTTTTTGCGGAATCTTGCCATCTTATGTAAGTGTCACGGTAGGTTTAGTGTGATGAAAAAATTTTGTAATTGCGTCAGATTTCGCTGAAATTTGCCCTATAGGGTTATTCGACATGCTGATCATAAAAGTGAGAACAGTTTCGCATAAAGCGTGCTAGAGTCAAGAAATGAATTTTCATCTTAGCGACAAATGAATATGATATTCGTGTTTACCAAGCTGGATAAAGAGATGGCCCTCCAAATTTGGCGCACATGGCTACTTCATCTTCTCTAAAGCGCCTTATCTTGTTGTCTTTGAATTCGCTTCTTTTTTACTGATTCTAATGTGTCAACTATACTTGGGTAATTCGGAAATTTTTCATCGAATGAATGAATATCGAATAAACTCGAAAGTGAAAAGTTTCGAATAAACGAATATCGAATAAATTCGAAAATAAAAAATCCCGAATAAACGAATATCGAACAACTTCGAAAATAAAAAATTTTCGAATGAATGAATATCGAATAAATTCAAGAATCAAAAATTTTCGAATGAATGAATATCGAATATATTCGAACATTGGGAGTCGAATTTCGAATAGATATTCGAATGATTTTTCGAATAACTACAGCAACATATTTGAAACTTGCTGACATATCTGGCTAAAGCCGATTCATTTATAATCAGCACCCTCATATCCCCTATACCAACTCCTAGCTCGAGCTTTTCCAGAAATCGGAGAAATCGATAAACAAAATTTTTATTCATAATCAGTACAGTACCCTCACTTAGCCCCTGTACCAAATCCCAGCCTCGTAGCTCTATGTTCTCCAAAATTGATAAAATCGATAAACTAAAATTTTATACGTAATCAGCACCCTCACTTACCCCTGTACCAGCTCTCAGCCCCGTAGCTCAAAGTTCTCCAAAAATGGATGAATCCACTAATCAAATCAATGAAGTTCACTTTGATCAACTTCTACGTTCAGAAAGATTTGAGACTGAATTAGAGATTAGTTCCTCAGAAGGCTTATTGAGAGCCATGTCAGATTTATAGCAAATACAGGTTAGTAGCCAGCTGTCTGGATTCCAAATGAAAAAATGGGATTTTATGGGAAATTAATACAAGTTGTTTTTGAGAATAGATCAAGAATTAGTACAAAAAATAATCATCAGCAATTTCCACTGATCTATAGGCATTCAGTAGTAACATGCACTGCATCATCTGTAACATGCTCTGCATCTTCGTGCGTTATGCACCGTAGGATGACCGCATTTGTGCACCTTGATCCTGCGGCTTTGTTCAACAGCAGACCTCACTTGTCAGGCGTCCACTACATTTCAAGGGCAGTTTAGCAGAGTAGCAGCAAATGAAAATGGCTGGAGCTGAAATTTAAAAACGAGACTTGCACACGCTATACATCTGTGGTGAGCTGGCGTTACATCTGAAGACATCTTGTAACTCATTGATCGAAAAAGCATCAATTGAAATCCACATCTATTTTTTTAATGTCGCAGGCAGTCGGAGGAATGCGACTTTCCATACAGTTCAAAGGTCATTACGGTTGCAAAAACATACATTACCGGTTTTGCAAAAAAACCCAAGCGAAGCGAGCTTGGTACTCAGCAGTTGGCTCTGCAACAAACCCGAATAATATGGATACGGAGTTCATTCGAATACGAATTTCGAATAGATTTTATTCGATTAAAACATTCGAATAAAATCTATTCGAAACCCCGTTTTCCGATTATTCGAGTTTTCGAATATTATTCGAAACCCTATTTTTGGATTATTCGAGTTTCGAATTTTATTCGAAACCCCGTTTTCTCAATCATTCAAGTTTCGAATATTATTCGAAAATGGAAGAACTCCGAATATCGAATTTCGAATGCGAATATATTCGATTGTTTAATTCGAATGATCGAATTTCTATTCGATTCGGACCCAAGTATAGTGTATACTGTGCGCTGATTTGATTCAGGTTTTGTATGGCTTTATATTCGCCGAAGACCGTGAAACCTCTATTCAGCAGTTTTCGAAAATCAAGAGTTTTCGATTTTTCACTACGTTATCAAAAATCAAACGGTCTACACGGACTTGCAACTTACATAGCAGTCCACATGATGCTTAAGAATGAGATTGCTACATAAAACAAGAAAGAAGTCATGGGAAAAGTTGCAAAACTTATGTGCCTACCTAATATCTATGATTTCCTACATCTTCATTCTGTGGAAACATTGTACAGACGTAACTGGTCGTCGTGTGCAGGCGCGTATTACTGTCGATGAAGCCCTTGGCGTTCCGTGCGAGTAACACCGCACTCAGGTCGTGCGCACACTTAACCAGTGTTCGTTTTGCCAACTGCGTTCCCAACAAACTTTCTCGAGCACCTCTGCATTTGCGCCGAAAATAGTGGATCTCTGCTGCATCTGTTATGCTTACCAGGTTATTTTTGGAAGCTAGAGCTCCCCATATATCTTTCAATTCTTTCTTTATCAGGTAATCCGAGATAGACTAGTAAATTTTATATTTTGTTTTCCTCTATTATGGCTGGTCCGGTGCTCTTTTAATTTTTATCCTTTTGGAGTAATTTTTGTGTCATCAACAAAGCAACTGCGTAATATGGCAAATTAAATTCCATTCTTCAATATCGATAATTCCTTTATTTATTTATTTATTTGTTTATTCATTTATTTATTCATTGCGCTCGTAGCGTCTCTATGCATCATACATTACAATTTTTGTTTCTTCATGGTGTTTCTCTGGTTTACGTTTATTTCGCAAAATTATTCTGAAGCCCTCGTTGAGCCACTGTATGATAGCGCCATATTCCCCATTTTCTTAATTGCTAGAGGGCATTATTTAACTCAAAAAAAAACACTTTAAGGTACCAGTCTAGGCTGATCATGTTTACTTTCACTTAAGCTCAGTATTAAACCTGTTCTGCTAGTTTCCACTACCTCTAAGACATTTAGTAGATGTTCGACCTATGCTAACTTTTTGATATATGATGTTAAAATTCAGTTAGAAATAAGCAGCTCACGATGATTGCAATTTAGTGGTATTCCGGGGAATAGACCCATCAATGTCTTTACGATTAGGCTCAGGTATTTCTGGGAAGTGCGTGGACATCTAGATATTTCTGCTTCTGAATTTAGGCTCATTTGTTCCCACAAAATCAATTGGCGATAGGTTAATAAGTCATCTATAGTCTTATGCTAAAATCTCGTGCTTAGTCTCCATTTGAAAAACTGCGAAGAAAACTAGAAAGTTTGTCGGTCGGCGCGTAGAGAACTCGTCATTTTTTACTCAGAATTGCTGAATTTCATGACATTTATCATTAGCTTTTTGTTTTATTATAATCATAATTAGCGTAGTCTATACTCATTTACACTTTTGTTTAAGTGACTAATAAAAATCCATGTGGGTTACACATCGATCAATTAGGAGGAAAAATTGTTGACTCAACGAAGGGGATTGATTCACAACCCTCACTAAAGCGCATCATAACTGCACCACGTGCATAAAATGTATTCCTAGCACATGCTTCAGCTTTACTCGACTTTGCGCAAGATTTACGAGTAGCTCTACTTATTTTCCCAAGAAATGTACGTATAGTGCCGCTTTTTTTGTTATCGCTTCAGCTTCTCTAGTCATGAAAACACACAGTGATAACAGTGACATGTGTGTAATGTATATACAAACTTTATCATCTGTTCTAGCAAATATTCATATCTTCACAAGTCTGCTGATTTGTCTTAGCCATCTTATCGATAATATCCTCCTTTTGTTTCGGAGTGATTTCATTTTGATTTAGCTAACCATGTCTCTTTTCCCATTTATCATTTTCATTCCTTACCTTAACACTTTTTGCACCTCGCGCAATGGCATAGACTTATATTTGTTGTAAGAAATGAAAGTTCTGTGACAAATTTGGTCATTGACTACACTTTCTCGCTGGTCGATCTATACGGTACAATCGCCACTTTGCCAATGTAAGTGATCACCGCCCCTTCTCTTTTATAAATATGGTAGAGAAATTTTTTTTCAAATTTTCATCGTTATTTCTGCAACAAAAAAGGCCATATGATGAAAAAACCTTGAAGAGAAAACTTGTCAATTTGCTGGTCGAAAAGGAATCAGCGAGATTCTTTGAAATCCGGAATTGTGTAACAAACTTTGAAAAAGGAAAATTTGTTGGAAAGGCATGCGCAACTTGTCCACGTAAGTATGTTGATCACTCAGAAAGATTCGTTAATTTGCTTGGTTTAGAAAGCTTTCAAAATCTGTAATCGGCGTTTTGATTTTTCAAAGGAAAGATGGATGGAGTAAAGAAGCTTGTAACTGAGGTAAACCATTTTTGTATGCTGCGATAGGCTATCGGGATATGGTATGCACACTGTATTCTACCATATGTAGATGATGCTCACTCAGCATTTTCGTTCATTTTAGGTCTAATAAGCTTTGCAATTTCTCGCAGGTTAAATATGCGCACTTTCTGCAAAAAAAGAAAAATCGAAATTATGGCTTATAATTACGCAAGTCGCCCTTTTCCTGAGGCTCTAAGAAAAATAGCTGGAGGAAACGTTAACAAGTTCGCTCTTGATCTTGAGAAAGAAGTCTACGCGAACAACGCAACGGAGCTAGCCCTACCCGTGGAAAAGAGGGTGACGACAGCAACAGGGGTGAGCTTCATAAAAGAAGTAAGTTAAACATTTCATTTTGGATTTTTGAAGTCTTAATGAGGAGTTTTTGCAGTGCATTTACAAGTACTACATGATGCCGGTGGAGGTTCGTCAGAGCATTTAGAAAGCTGCAAAAGCAGCTTTGGATTCCAGGGTAAGCTAGGGTGCTCCGTCGGCACCACACCTTCAAGACGAGCTGTATTCGAATTCGACGAAGAATTGAACGATTGATCAGAAAGGATACTATATATGATATATAGTGCAGATGCTTGTGATATATGCTCGGCAACTTTTACTAAGCTGTTTATTGTGCAATAATAAATTTTTGGAATTCGTCTCAAGAATCCCACCTGAATCATACAAATACTAAACACTCGTTTTCGTCATTGTTTTTTTACAAGCATTTTTATAAGAACGACAAGAAAGCAGGAAAATAAGAGAAGAATAGAAAAAATCAACGAAACAAACAATGAATAAAACGATAGAAACCGTCAATAAAAATAGTACAATAAACCGAGGAAAAGTTTTTCTAAATGAACAGAATGCGCTGGTTTCAAATCTGAATTCCTATTTTGCTTCGCCCATTTTGAAGAGATTTATGACGAAGCGGCTTCGCACTCTTCGCTGGGTGCAGGTGCACCCGAGCGGACTTAGTGGACCAAATAAGCGCATATAATCAATCAGCTCATTTTTCTGTGAAGATAGAGGAACCGATATATAGATTTTTGGAGAGCGTATTGCGTGTAGATTCCGAATATATAAAAATTGTGGTGTTTGGTGAGATTTCAGGAAACGGTTAAAAATCCTTAGTGTGTGATTCTGCAGTTTTCAGTTCATCTCGCTGCGGTTGGTTCCACCAGAAAGCACACATACGCATGCAAATACTTGCTTAACACCTACTGCATTGTAAAAATGCTTGCCGTTACCGTGCCCATTCTTGAGATATGGTCTTTTGAAGGTAGTCTCACATCGAATTCAGAGCATGAGCAACCTGATTTGGGCTCATATATTAGGTTGTCCACAAGTGTTTTCAATTTGAGTTTTCTCTGTATTAAGTTGGACACTTCTTATCGTAGATAGACATCAGGATATCATTCGATAGAGCAAAGCAAGCTCTATAAGACGGCATTTATGCTTTTGCACCAGCTTCGTTCCACTTCAAATTTCAAACTAAAACTTAAAGTTTCGGATGCTCAATAAATTGAAGTTTTTCAATATCTTCGTTCAAAAAAGTCTTACAGATCTCTCACTTGCTAACTCATATACATTCCACATCAGGCATTCATATGTGCTATTGCTGTATTTTATTATCAGCTAAAAATCAAAAAACCGAAAATTTCCAAGTTTTCACCTAAGTGATGCTCTGCTGTTCTTACACCGAACAGTTGTATACTACAAGCCTTTAAAGTACTACCATAGATTTTTGGCTCTTTATAAGCTCGTTTCCAAGAAATGTTGAGTTAAGCGTGAAAAACCCGAGAGAGAAAAGCAAAATTTGATACTTCTTGTGAACCAGAGCTTATGAATAGCCAAAAATCTATGGTAGTACTTTCAAGGGCTTGTAGTATACGACTGTCAGTGAAAGAACAGCACAGCATCACTTTTGTAAAAACAAGGAAATTTTCGGTTTCTTGATTTCTAGCGGATAAAGAAAATACAGCAACAGCACATATGAATGCCTGATGTGGAATGTATATGCGTGAGCGAGCGAGAGATCTGTAGTACTTTTTAAAACGAAGCTACAAAAAATTTTCAATTTTCTGGGCATCAAACTTTTTAGACTTCGATTGAGGGGAAAGAAGCTGGTGCAAAATCATGAACGCCATCTTATAGAGCCTGCTTTGCTCTATCGAATGGTATCCAGATGTTTATTACAATAAGAAGTGTCTGGCTTACTAAAGCGAAAACTCAAAAATGAAAAGACTTATGGGACAACCTAATATATAGCAGAAAAACATATTCGATGCAGATTATTCTCTTTCTGATAAACGGTTTTTTTTCTGATTCTCAGAGGTTTTAAGGATAAAATTATCATTTCTAATATAAGAATGCACACGAAGCTGTGCTTAAAAAATTCGAAATTTTTTATTCCACGGCGTCAATCATTTGCTTTGTTAAATTGATTTTTAATCATAATCGGCTTTTGGAAGTTGCCAGTTTTGAAGGTTCATTGGTGTTCGAAGCTCTATAGTTAGTTCATGGCTTTGCAAAAAATGAAGACAACAAATGAAGAGAAAAATTTTTCGTATAGTAGAAGTACTTCTGTGCCAAACAGGTTTGTTAGGTGTTCCTTTATTTCCAATCACGGCCTAACGTTTCGACGCCTTTCGTCTTCCTCAGAGGCCTGAAAATGACTCAAAGTGTTACCCGAGAAACGAGGCCATCAAGTACCATCTCCATTCCTGCCAGTTCTCAACCTTCGTTCAACATTCCTACCGCAAAAATTGCTATGCCAGAAGATGAACATACCCTGTGAACACCGCTACTTGGGGTTCCGCACCGTAAATGATGGTCTTGGCGGATAGAATGGACTATACCATAAAAGCACATAAGTGATCTACAGTCTACATAGAGATATGAAGGGAAGGAAGTCCGTGGTAATTGACAAACACTCATTTTTATTGTTCATTGCTGGATTCTTCGCAGAAATCCAGAATGCTTCTAACGCCTTCCTCGCCGAGGTTTCCTTTTCGTGTGCCAAGATTTGGCATTTGATATCAAAATCGTCTCCGCCATGCGAATCGTGGCTATGTTTACCCAGGGGTGAAAAAAATGTTTTACGCCTTTTATCTGCAAGATGTTCTTTTACGCGAGTACTAAGTGTTCTGCCAGTTTCTCCGATATAGATGGCATTGCAGCTAAGACATTCTAACTGATAAACCACTCCCAATTGTGCACAATCACCTATTTTGCCGTGCGGACAGACTACGCATCGATTCGTTATACAGTATCGATCGTAAAGTCTGTTTCGAACTAACTGCGTTTTGATATTGTCACCTGGGATGTCGACTAAAACAATATCGTTTTGCAGTTGTGCACGTGAAATGCATTTTCGAAATGCCGCGCTGATGTTATCGGAAATAAATGGAAGGCACAGTGGGAGCTTATTATCACGGATTTTGTTACCATTCGCCTGATGTTGATCATGTGGCAAGGAATGATAACCGTTGCTGCAAGCAATCTTGGAGGCCAGATCTGAATGTTAAATCAGCGCATCCTGCATCTACGAAAAGAGCGGTGATCAAGAATATGTTTGAAACGGCTATGCAGATGTGCTCCGGAGAAAGGGAACGATGCGAGTCGCGAGATCTGGCCTCCAAGATTGCTTGCAGCAACGGTTATCATTCCTTGCCACATGATCAACATCAGGCGAATGGTAACATAATCCGTGATAATAAGCTCCCACTGTGCCTTCCATTTATTTCCGATAACATCAGCGCGGCATTTCGAAAATGCATTTTACGTGCACAACTGCAAAACGATATTGTTTTAGTCGACATCCCAGGTGACAATATCAAAACGCAGTTAGTTCGAAACAGACTTTACGATCGATACTGTATAACGAATCGATGCGTAGTCTGTCCGCACGGCAAAATAGGTGATTGTGCACAATTGGGAGTGGTTTATCAGTTAGAATGTCTTAGCTGCAATGCCATCTATATCGGAGAAACTGGCAGAACACTTAGTACTCGCGTAAAAGAACATCTTGCAGATAAAAGGCGTAAAACATTTTTTTCACCTCTGGGTAAACATAGCCACGATTCGCATAGCGGAGACGATTTTGATATCAAATGCCAAATCTTGGCACGCGAAAAGGAAACCTCGGCGAGGAAGGCGTTAGAAGCATTCTGGATTTCTGCGAATAATCCAGCAATGAACAATAAAAATGAGTGTTTGTCAATTACCACGGACTTCCTACCCTTCATATCTCTATGCAGACTGTAGATCACTTATGTGCTTTTATGGTATAGTCCATTCTATCCGCCAAGACCATCTCTTCCGGTGCGGAACCCCAAATAGCGGTGTTCATAGGGTATGTTCATCTTCTGGCATAGCGATTTTTACGGTAGGAATGTTGAACGAAGATTGAGAACTGGCAGTAATGGAGATGGTACTTGATGGCCTCGTTTCTCGGGTAACACTTTGAGTCATTTTCAGGCCTCTGAGGAAGACGAAAGGCGTCGAAACGTTAGGCCGTGATTGGAAATAAAGGAACACCTAACAAATCTGTTTGGCACAGAAGTACTTCTACTATACGAATCATGCCCAGGTTTAAAGAAAGCGAAACTTTCAAATTATTAGAAAAAAATTTTTTGAGAATATTCACAAGTCTGTCGAAGAATCTTCAAAAATCATTGTCTTGCATTTTGTGTGTTCGATTCAACAGTGGCGATGCCCTTTCAAAATTTAGAAGTAAACATTTAAAAAATTTTCGTTAGCTTCTTTCGTAGTCATGCTAACCAATTTTAATTTTGAGCGCTACATTATAGAGCGTCATTTTTTTCCTTCCTGAGATAAATTGAACAAATCCTCCGAATCAGGGAAAATTGCAGTTTTCCAAAGTTTCGGTGTAGAAGTAGTAGACCAACCTAATAATTTCTGTGCATTCCCTGTAATTCCTCGCAGGCGATTCCCAAACCCGCAATTCAGTGTTCCATTCCAGCCAAGTCCACTGATTGCTGCACGTTGAAGCAATTCCGAAGCGGACGTGTTTTTGACTGTGAAATGCAAATAGCAGATTTGCATAGCGTTGTACCCTCTGGAGAAAAAGTAGTCAAGGCTGAGAAACTCGTCAACAGTAGTGAGAAATAAATAAATGCTACTGATTAGCAGTTGTATCTGTGAGAAACGAATTGATATATACTCAAAGCACTTTTGTGCATGCTGCAAAGACTCTTTCCTCACAAAAATGGTAGATAGATTGTAGTTTGTGTATATTGTGTACAGTAGATTGTGTATGCGAGCTGACTATTATTTGTTAATGAAAAAAGTCATTAGGAATGTGATACAGATTTGAACGAAAAATAGTACTTTTACTTTTATCACGAATTGCACTATATTCACGAGTCTTCGATGTTCTTGCTCAATATCCTGAAACACTGGCGAATCTTTCTACCCCTACCTAAAAATGAAGCTCTTGAATTTCTGAAGATGTTATATCTGAATTAAAAAAGTCAATGCTTGTATTAGGATACTTGGCTGTAAAAAATTTTTTTTCATTTTCTTCTGAA